CACACACGCACAATTAAAATTTTAGCAAACAGAACTTCCTCCACATGCTTTCTTAGAAAGCTATCGTTAATTAATGAGCAACTGCAGACTGGCACTCACAGGCATGTCTGTAGTGTGTATTTATTCAGGAGACTGCTGTGAGTCTGTGCTCATTAACATTATAGTTGTTAAAAGTAAAATCCCAAGTGGGTAAAATACTCTGAAACCTGTGGCCCCTCCCACTTAATAATTGTGTTCAAATAGTAAATTAAGTAAAATATTGGTTGTTGAGTGGGTGTTCTCTGGAAAGATTAGTTGGGATTACACCTCGTAAACAGAATCGCAAATTTTAAACAAATAATACCTACTAGACAGACACAATACTAAAAAAGAAACACGTGTAATTTTGTATCAAAGTTAATTTAATCAGTCGCGTTATATTCATGGGAATGTGTTTGTGTATATGTGATTGCTGCAATAATTTGTCCAGTAGAAATTATTGCCTAAGAACATTCATTTGTGACTCTCATCTTAAGTTAAGGATGAATAGTTTTAATACTGTCTTATTTTAATACTTTCTTGTCAATATGAAATGTCCCGAACTTTCCAGAGATGCCATTTAGTGCTAGGTTGCAGCATCCAGAGCAATACTTGTCATGTGACAGTCTTAGCTAACTGAAAGGTATCTGTAAAGTCTCCAGGGCCCTTTGATTATCTTAAGTGACATATTACAATCCCAGAAAAGATTGGGGCGCTGTGTAAAACAGACTGCAATGATTTATAAATCCCATAAATTCATATTTTGTTTAGGAAGACATATCAAATGTATAAAGGGACATTTCACTAGTTCCTGAAAAATACTAGCTGATTTTGAATTTGATGGCAGTAAGAGAGTGGTACTAAAAAGAAAAAGCTGGAGGTTATTTGGCAACAGATCAGTAACATGGTCAGGTATAAAAAGAGCGTCTTAGAGAAGCAGAGTTTCTCTGAAGAAGAGATAGACAGATGTTCACCCATCTACAAAAAGTCATCTACAAATTGTGTAAAATTATTCAGAACAAAATATTCCTCAATGGAAATTGCAAAGAATATCTCATCTACAGCACATAATATCAACAATATCAATAAAGATTCAGAGAATTTGGAGAAATCGTTCTAATCTTTCTCCAAGGCATGAATCTGTGTATGGGCTCAGGAACACTTCCAGAAATCTGTGAACACAGTTCACCGTGCCATCCACATATTCAAGTTACAGCTCTACCATGCAAAGAAGAAGCCATTTGTGAATCATCCAGAAAAATTGCTGTCTTCTCTTGGCCAAGCTCATTTAAAATGGAACGAGGCAATGTGGAAAAAATGTTTTGTGGGCAAAAATCAAAATCAAAAAGGGAGAAAAGATGGACCATCCAGCTTTTTATAAGCACTCGGTTTAAAAACCTGCATCTCTGGTGGTGTGGGGTGCATTGGTGCCTGTAATTAAACTGGCACACCTGGAAAGGCACCATCAATGCTGAAAGATCTATACAGGTTTGCGTCATATGAAGCGTTGCTTCATAATAAAAGACAGCTGATGCTAAACTGGTCTCCCTGCATTCCAGACTTTTCCATGATTGAAAACACTGGATACATCATGGAACAGAGCATATGACAAAGAAGACTGCACTGTTGACCAGCTGGAATTAAATATGAGACCAGAACTAGGCAATGTTTCTCTTCCAAAAGTCCAGCAGTTGGTCTCCATAGTTACCAGATGTTAACAGACTGTTGCTAAGGCGAGGGGAAGCTACACAGTGGTAAAGATGGCCCTGTCCGCCATCAAATTGATAATAAGCAATTTTTTTCCCCAAAAAGTCAAATTTCTAATTTTCAACCGTTCAAAATGTTCCTGTGTTCTACTGTGAATAAAATATGGTTTAATTCGATTTTTTTAATCTTTGAATTCTGTTTTTATTTACATTTTACACAGCATCCCAACTTTTATGGAAATGAGGTTGCATAATATATGTCACAGGCCAATATTCCTTTATAGTGCATCTGAATCAGATCAGTCAGTAGCTCCTAATTTATGGCAAAGGAGCACAAAATTACATCATATTAAGTATACAGATGGAAATTAAAAGATGAATTTAAATTGACAAGTTTCAGTGCCAAACCATTCGGACTGGCAGTAACACCTACTTTGCTCCAGTGCTCAGTATCAGAGCCACCCAAGATTGTGTGCTCAGCTCCCTTCTGTTCAAACTAGACACCCATGACTGTCTTTTCAGACATGGAGATTGTGGAAAATTAAGGCCCTATTTGAGAGACGCAGACACAGAGCTGAGATGGAGCAAATGAATATTTTTCTTTCAAAATATTCTTTCTTTTAAAAGACTCCAGTCCCCATGCAACCCTGAATGGTTATGGTGACAGTCCTCACACAATTGCACCCTGCTAAAGAAAGCTCAGAACCCACTGTACCTAATACTATCACGTACATCACCAGCACCCAGCATTGGTGAAAGCAGTGAGGTTACTAAAGGGCAGCCACAGCCTGTGCTGTCAGAAATAGGGAAGTAACGGCTTCTATACATGTTGGAGCAGTTTCCTTCCTCAGGTTCGGAGAATACTAAACCTTTTATAATGATTAAATTATGTATTATTTGTGAGACCTGGTGTTGCATTGATGTGATGTCTGATTAACAACTTAAGCCTGAAGCATGTGGAAGATGTGTTTCCGGACAGCCTGACCCAACACCAGAGTTTACAGAGAACTACAACTAGCTTTATCTCAAGCTCAGTCTTTAAAACTAATCTGTAGTTTTGCATAACAGCCTGATGCAGTCTTTCTGATTTCCTTGGTAACCTAATAAGGTCTAGTTTTACCAAGCTGACATGTTCTCTTGGTACTTGTCACTTTTCCAGCACAGTTTCAACATCGCTCTATGCAGAGCTGTCACTGGAACGGAAAAATCCAAGTTGATGATTGAGTTTGTGTAGGCACTTGTCAACTAATAAAATTATGTGTTGTGACAGAGTAGACAGAAGCATATGCTACAGACAAGGTTTCTTTCCTGCACATTCTAACTCACTTCATGAATAGAAAATCAACTTAGTTATAAAGCAGAGAATGTATATTGAAGTGTTGCCTTGATGTCTGGAGCATATAGCTGTCTGAATCAGGTGCCTTTTTTATTCTCCTTGTTTCCTAGGGCAAAACGGCTCCATTTTGTCACACACAGCCATGCATAAAGCAATGAGTATCTATGCTGGTGCATTTCACTTGTCATGATATTCTGTCTCTGTGATTTGGAAGCTTCTGATCTGCTGTAGCGCCACAGTGATGGCTGATGTCAGTCTCAACCAGCTTTTAGACAGACACAGTGCTGCCACAGTTCCTGTTGTTCCAGACCAGTGACTGTGGTGACTGCTGCATCCTGCTCGGCAGTCCGGGAGGATTACTGGTCAGGTTTGGAGTGATATTAAAGACAGGCGTGTACGGCAGCTTAGTCATATTTTGCTGCTGAATTAATCTCAACCATGAGGGGCTTCCCAGAAAATGTGTGTATCCCGATTTCCACATAAATGTTTGTGGTGTGGTGTGTGTGTGTGTGAGTGAGAGAGAGACATTTTAACACCTTTCAAAAGTGTATAAATGTGCTCAAGCAGATGCTGATTTTACGATCTCGTCAATATATCACTGCTCCTGCAATCGTCGATTCATCTGGGTGACTGTTGTCAGTCAGGCATGGCATGTCCGTGTCTTAGATCTATGGTAATTGAAACCTGGCTGGCCTAATTAATGAGCCTTAACCACTACCTGCCCTGCCACTCCACACTGGCAATTTGCTGGAAGAAGGAAAGATTCACTTCAGCTAATTACTGGATAACTCTCTCTGACCTGAATCTTGTCTGTGCATTTGGACAAAACTTCTGTAAGAGTGTCTCCTGCACTGTGGGCTTGCTGGGGGTTGCTCAACAGTGCACAGGGAGGGAGATGAATGTGGGAAGTGGTGATAAGATGCAATAGACAATGTAGAACTGACAGAGATAGCAGGACAAGAGAGGGCGGACTGCAAAAAAACATCATGGTAATGCTACAGCTTTTGTTTCTTAATATCGAAGTGCAAGATCTCTCTTTTACTCTCACTTATGCAATCCTGGAATACTCATGTGCTCTGCCTGCTCTCTGTGTGCACTTCCTGCTTGTGTGGCTATCAGTCTTTCAAGAGCCAGAGGACATACGCTGGTCAGCCAGCTACCCTCCCCACTGTCTAATCATTTTCTCTCTTTTTCCCTGTAGGGTGGCCATTACAGTGAGCCCCTCAGGCCATGCTCCAGCACATGCACACACACATACGCACACACTCACAATAGCCAATAATGAAAAAAAATGTGTTGGTAAGCACACAAATCACACGCGTCCCCCTCTCCGTCCAACCATTCGTCCAGCTCAGCTTGAGGGTCTCTGTGAGTGGGCTTCAGCCCCGCACAACAGCCCCATGCTAGTGCCCTGGCCACATTAGCAGCCTGGCAGGAGATTGACTGTTTGGGCTCGCCAACAGCCTCCAGCTAACGTCCTCCCACAAGAGCTGGCACCCTTTGGATGAGCTGGAATGGCCACAAAGTGGGAAGAATCTAATCCGGTTTGACTCGTCTTTTTTTCTTACTCTCCCGTCCCCACTCTTCTCCGCCACCATGGGGCTTATTTGGGCTACTTTCCACTCTAAATAAATATGAAAGATGAGTATGTGATGTATGTTCACTGGGAATTATTGGATTTAATAGTTGCAGGCAGCAAAGAGCTCGGATAACTCTTAAAAAAAGGCTGTGATGCAGCAGTTATAGTGAAGCCAATTTAAGCCCCTTCACATTGATGTCACATGACAGCTTTATATGTTTATACCCTTAGTGTAAGCATATCCCGCGGCTATGCTTCACTGTGCGGATTAACACCTGAGTCATTGGCGACCGCCTCCATTTGGTCTGCTCTGTTGCTATGATCCTTGTCAAGTTGACAACCTGGTTGAAATGTATGATACCTGCATAAGGAACTGGGGCATCTTTATCCAGGGCCACCAGGGGAGGATCCAGCAGAACGATGTCAGTGTTTTCAGTGATCACCCCATGGTATGATGTCTCAATCCACGGCTTGTGTTTATTCACTGTGGAGACAGAAAGAAAACATATGTAAACTAAAAAGTCTATGCTTCAGCCTTAACATACTAAAATGCAAATCTTCAACTAATGTCACCTTTAAAAACAAAACAAAACGTGGTCACAGACAAGTTCACCTAACATGCTGCTGCAAATAGCCGTACAAATTTTACTGGCAAAGCTCCTGCAGCCTCCTTTTCTATAAGACCTTTTCATTTTGGCTAATCTCCCCTGCTACTTCTGTTCTTTCTTTTGTTCTTTTCTTCCTTCAAACATTCCCCGCAGGTTTCAAAGCATGGTGACAAAACTCAACCAAAGACCACCACTGTGCTGCCAACACAAAACCGTGGTCTGAGTCAAAACACAGGGTCTTATTAATGGTCATAACTGAATAAAAGCCCTTTGGATTGTGCGCAGCATTGTGCCAATCCACTTGCGATTTTCTTACTATTCTAAAGTCAAAAGAAGAAGAAGGAGACAAAGAGCCAAAAGAAAACAGCGGATCATATGAATCGTTCTTGCTGCCTTTTAGCCAGGCCATAAAAACAAACAAACGAAAAACACAGCACTTTGTCTACTTTCGAAATGTCAAGTTTTTGTATGTGGATTGAAATTGACGATGAAAAGCTTTAATTTGAGGTCCCCTGAGAAGCGGTGCTTAAAAAACAGAATATTTTATTTAATGGTGAATGAAGTGCATAAACAATAATTACTTTTCATTCAGTGAAAGGAAAACCAAAGAAAGCATGCTCTTTCTAAATCCTAATCAAGCAATCATTGTTATAGAGCACTTCAGTTATGCACTGAATGCCAGTAAAAGCCACTTGACAATGCTAAAAAGTGGAGTTTCCAAACAAGACAAGTAAATGCACCCAGCCATCATGCTCGTTTAATGTGAGTACACAAAGAACACTTTGTTGTCGTTATGAAACAAATGCATCTTCAATTACATTTTCATTTAATCACTTCCATACAATTTAATTATCTGCTTTCACTGCACTTAAAATCAAATTAACACGGTCTAAAACAGTGATTCCCAACCAGGAGTACTCGGAGCCCGGGGGACACTTCTACAGCTGCCTGGGTGCTTGTGGTAAGATTGTATGAAACTCAACTAATGTGAATTTGATGTGTTTGTGTCGCGGTGAAAAATCACCATCGAAATAGGATCAAAGTTGAAACAGTGGTGATCAGAAGTTATAATCATGCTAATCTGTAAGCTATCAGATGGAGCAGATCTTCAACCAACAGGAGTCAATTATCAGTTAGCTTGTTAACATCAAAAATGTTAGTTAAATATTATTATTATCATCATCATAATGATAGATGGTTGGTATAATTATATACAAGAGGTGGATATGACAGTGCTAGAAACTATTAGCTAAAAGTGACTGCCACAAAAGTCAAAATTGTTAGCTTAAATGGTTTGAACAGTCAAGGGAACAGGTAAGAGGAAAAAGGGAAATAGTTTTGTAAATGTAATAATGGTTCAATTAGCTAAAAGTAACCAAAATAAGGAAATTATGAAAACTGAAAAATAGACTGATGAAAAATGGTTCAAATTACTAGCTAAACATAATAGTGTCATAATGGAACTTGCCAAAAGCAATAGCTGAAATAGCTAAATGTAATCCATGTAAATTAAGTGTTGAAAGAGCAAGTTTCTATCACTTCAGTACTTAACTTGATATTTAGGCACAAGTATTGAAATTATATTTTCACTTAATGTGAGTAGCAGAAAAAAAGGTAATGAGACTGGGGAAATGCATGTTAGCACCACAGGGATGCATATTCATGAATGTCAACCCGCAAAGCATGGCTAACAGCGCTGATACAATCAGTCTCATTTACAGGGAGACAGAGATGGGAACACGTTAGTGTATTTGGGTGTGATAAACATGCATGAGGTTGTGACAACAGTTAGGGGTAAAACATTTTTTTTTCCACAGGATTTCATCTTTAAATGTCAAACTGTGTCATGTTGGGAATGAAAATCTTGCTGTTGATGATGCACAGGAATATCAAGTAGAAACATTATTTGAATGTGTTATCACGGTGCCTCCAAGACATACAAAAAAAAATCACTCTTGAGAGGCTTTTTTTTTTTCCAAAGCAATCTGTTGTTGGACTGTTACAGAACAATTAGCACACTGTTGCAGAAATAAACCAGACAAAATCAACTGCTTTAGCAGGATCCCATGCAGGCAAATCCAAAAATAAGTAATCTGTAAAAGATGACAAGAAAAAAGCTAATATTATTCTCCAACTTGGTACGAGTGCGCAACCCCAATAAATGTGTAATACAGGGCATAATACTGTTTGAGTACAATGCATGACAGCTAATGAGGGGTCTAGAGAATAGAAGGGGCTTGTCATCGGCTTCAAATTCAGTCTTCTCACAGTTTAGATGACCTATTGATCTTTTAATCCTTCATTCTCGGTTTCTGCCACTCACCATGACTACTTAGCAGTGTCATGCTGACCCAAAGGTTCTGTTCAGCATTATCCAAATTTTCCCCTGTGAAAGCACAAAGCATTCCAACCTGGCCTCACTCCCAGCTCGTCACATAATGTTGCTTGTGATAATTTTTCGACTTGGGTAGTCTGTGCAGACCTTCGTGTGTCACCCTAGCTTATGTCGTGACCACTATGATAGAAATGAGCATAATTTAGCACAACCATCATTTTTTCCTAAACTGATGCACGTAGCTCTGTTGTTTTAATTGGGCATACCAATAGCCCATCCACATGCCTTCCAATCCATCCATCCATACGTACATCCTCTTCTGCTTATCCATTTGCTCCCAACTAGGCTTCTGTAAGTTTTTGTACATCATCATCCTTCAAGCAACTGTAGTAAAGGTGCATTAAATGTGTACTGTAACCAAGTCTTAGCTTGTTAGAATTAAGTAAATGCCTTTTCAAAAACTTTAAAACAATAAGTTTTTCTGTTCATAAACTGCAGTACACAGTGATTATTGGTGTGAACATTGCAAATTAGTTTATTAATATCACACTGCTGGTGACCTTTGTCATATCAAGCATGTGCAAAGTGGACTGTTTTTCCAGTCGGTGTGCCCAAGCTGCATTGGCATTGAGGGTTAAATCCATCTTAAAGTCTCACTGCTCTCAGTGTGTGGGATGGAATCGTTTTTCAGCAGAAGTAATGAGACCATTAAAAGAGACTCCACCTCCACTAATCGCCACAGTATCTCAATGGGAGTACCACCTACGCGTTAACCCCCAATGACAGCTCATGTATTCATTGGTAAGAAATATGATGCTGGCACCACTTTAGCAGAGTGGGGTTCATGTACTGACAACTTGAGACAACACCCTGAGTCAGTGTCACACAAAATGTATGATATGTTTCTTTATCCTTAGAAATAATGCAGGACATCAGAAGTCGAGAAGAGGTAGAAGGGAGGGCGTGCAGGTGGGGGGAGAATTGAATGAGCCGGACGATCAGTCCCAGAGATTCCCAGAGGAAACATTGCAGCCGATTAACACAATCGAAGCCACGGCTGCAAGCACTAATGCCTTGAAACCAAGTGATTAGCCACATACTCATCAATGGGGTCTTGTATCAAAACTACACACGGTTAATCCGCTAATCAATCTGAAATGAACATGAATCTCAGCCAAAGTTGTCTGCAGTTTCCCCTCTGCAGGTAGAAAGAGAACAGTTGTTCTCTTCGCTAAAAGGCTTTGAGCTTTTATCTACTAACGACACACCAGTGAGATTGGTCTTTTCGACATCTGATTGAACTGTGTGGTGCTGTGAGGCCTTCAGGCTTCAAACAGACTATAATAAGATGTGTGCTTAAAAAAGGACCAAACAAACATGCCCACGTGTGAAAAAAACTGCACTTTGAGTGACCCCAATTTTTAAAAGCAAACAACTTGAATGGCTACTAAAAGCACTCAGTAAATGGCATGTGATAACCTGTGTTTGTGAATGGAGGAAGGTCAATTTGCCAGCATCTCGTGAGACCTGGTGGCTGTTTGGCTGAAGAAATTGACTGAGATGCAAGAGACGTGTTACACCTAACGACAGAGCCAAAATTATTTTCTGTTTCATGTGTTAACAAGCAGAGCACACTGCTCATGTGTGATTATCATGTTTTCCCAACCAGACCTAAGCTGGTATTCAAATATCATGACCTTTCACAACCATGACACACATCGAAGCAAGTGGGTGAATTCTGTTAATGGAGAAAAAACTCTAGATCAGCCACTATAACCAAAAGGATTCATTTAAGTGAATATATGATAAGACAATTGAAAAGCATTTTAACAAGGCAACTGTCATATCCATCCAATATGTCTTTTCTGGCACATTAAAGAAAGCAATGGAAGTGACTGTGGAAATGAGATCTTGTCACATTTTTGCACACTTGAGAAAAAAATCTCAAGGTACATTAGCCCGCTCATGTTCATTTTATAATTTGAATTAAATATTTACAAAATACACAATACCAAATGTTATTTTTCTTCTTACTTTTACATTTGGAAATGACAGCCAGTAGTACCATGTGCTCTCCTGTCACCAAGTATGCAAAACCTAAAGACAGCAGTGACCTCAGGGGACAGTTGATCTTTCTTTTAAAATATGAATATATCGGATGGGTTATTTTTTCTGCATTTTCTTTATATGGTGATGTGATATGTATATAAAGCGAAATGGGAGATGGGTTGCAAAGTGGCTTGCCAATGCACGGCAACAGTTGCCATGCTAAAGCAGCTTAAATACCAAACACGCACTGAGATTTGCCAGTTGCATGTGTAATGCGGTAGCTGGTGTGGCCCTGCTCTGAGAGCAGTAAAATATGCAGGGGTTGTGGCTTTGTGGTCAGCAGGAGCTAATGCAGCAGGAACCATTTTTCTTTTTTAGTTGTTTTAATGAAACCCATTACTGCCTTCAGCTCTTCAATATTCTCTGCTTTTTACTGGGTTTGTTGCCACTAAATTAATCAAATGTATTACTCGAACATTTCCATAATTACCA